TTTTTTTTTTTCAAAATACTATTGTCATTATCAAATAACTAATCAAAAAGACATTAAGATTTTTACTTGATAAGTCCAAGAAATATTTACAGCAAATTTTTTGAAAAAACATATTTCAAATAATTCTACAAACCATCTTTTTAGGTTGTTTATCGCTTGTAAGTGATTAGATACAAATTTCGACTCTTTTCTTTTTATTTAGATATTTAAATAGGTTGCTGTAATTATAGTGATTATAAAATTCAAAAAAATTTAATAAATAAAATAAAATTTACCTAAAAGTTTTTTGACGTTATCAAGTTTTGTTGAATTTCGACCAATTAGAACAAATTTTTTAAATTGATGCTTTGCCAGCTCAATGGTATATGCTTTTCCAATACCGTCTGTACCACCGGTTACCACTAAAGAACATCAATTGTACAGCTGATAAATTAGCTAATTTTGTTTATCAAATATAAACAATATATATATGTATATACATATCAAAATAATTAATGCACAAACCTGTCCAACGATTTTTATACTGATCCAACTTTGGACTATAAAACAGCGGAGCAATACGATAGATATATACAGCTCTCCAGAAAGCAAAAGTTACTCGAAAACATTTGTACAATATGTATACCTTCAGAACAAACCAACACTGTAGCAGTAGAAATTCAACAATTCTAATTGCATCAGGCAGATCATACATTGTCTGCTTTACTGCTAATGTTGCTGATTAGAAGAACCGTTTTCAATTATTCAATAATGTTCGACCTAAATATGACAACAATATCTATTTTTCGATAAATTGAAAGTCGATTATAATCTATCAATGAGAAATTTTTCTGACAAAACATGACAAATAACATTACTTATAAAACTTTTATGCTAAAATAGTGATCTTTCAAATTAATGGAAAACAACGAAATTGCAACAGATACAAATGTGTTGTCGTCCAAACAGAAATTTCTCAGCCCTTTACTAATGTGTTCTTTTTTGAATTAATTAAAGCAGAAAAAAAAGACACTTTAAACTTTTTTCATTTGTTTAACACATCGGTGTTCAGGTTAAAATATATTTTTTTTCCTTTTTTCTTCTTTATTTAACTATCGAATAGAAATTAAATAATTCTTACAACATTTTCAAATTTGTAAAAAAAAAAAACACAATTTTTTTTTCTAATTTACATGCGGACAACAGAAAAACTTTTAACCGGTTGCATCAAAAGTGAAACTGTAAATTAAATAGTTTATTATATTTTGAAACTTTTTCACTGAAAAAAAAAAAAAAAAAAGTAAAGAAATGTGCAGAAAGAAACGGTGCAGAGATTAAAACGAAAAAAAAAAAAAAAGTTAAGAAAAATTGGTCAACAGCAGTAAATTAAAAATGGCAGAAATTTTATTTTTTTTTTTTTTT